ACTTATCCATGGACCAGCTCCAATATAAAATCTGTGTTCTACAAGCCATTGATTGACAAAGGTTCGTAGAGGTGTTGCGTGGTTCAAAAACAGTGTGTCTACGGAATACGGAAATTAGTTTTGATCAACCCTGTGCACTAAATAGTTCTTAAAACACAAAAGGTTCAACCTTTCAACGACCGGTGCCATTTTAGCGTGGCAAGCACGTCGGATAGCGTGTCATTGGAGCACAACTGAAATGCGCATTGAGATCAAGGTGTACGAAACGAGACGTACAATGGCGAATTTCATAGATGCTGATCGTGATTTGGGTTATGGGTGCCTACACATGGATTGCGAAAGTCGTCACTGCTTTCTTAGCAACACAACACTTACTCGGTGTATTTATACGTTTACCCATATTTCTTCATCTCAGGAAGGACCCTTCATCTTCACGCCACGAACAATCGACATGGCAATATCAAAGATTACCTCTATGCCAGTCGTACGTACTGGAAGGAAATCAGCGATGACTGAAATGGCTGAGGAGATCACTGAGAGCGCTGCTTCAACTGATCCTAACAGTGAAGAAACCGCGGCTACTACTTGGTCAACAGCCGTCGCTGTAGCCCAGTTCCAAATAAGAGAACGAAGAAGTGTAGGTCGAGGTATGGCATCGCTTTCAAGTACTTTGCTTTTCCATAACAAAGTTAGTATGACATGATGAAAATAGGTACAATACGAACAATTTTTACACTAACGAATCTGTGGAAAACTCTGTCAGATTTGTTGTTAAGATTACTTACTTACTTACTAGATACTTGAATGGCCCATCCTCACCAGTTATACGGGCCTCAGTATAATCTCCATTTTTCGGAGATTTGCTGGTTAAGCCATTGTGGTTCCCTCCCCAAGGTCAGCATGGCCAAAGTCTGCTCCAGGTCTTCACCACCACATGCAGTCGCAGCCCTTGTGGATCAGAGGGAGATTTACCACTATACGACTTTGATACCAGGACGGTAGTGGATCCTGGTTTTTTTAAAAACTACTTCAGACCATTAATCAGTTGCAGATGCATGACTTTATTTCGAAATTATGTATTATGACTGAATCTTATTCGCTAACAGTGCCGATTTAGAAATGACTAGAGTGGCTCCAACTCGAATGATTCACGAACTCTCACACGATGATAAGTCACTGATCGACGAAGAGACAATGCACACTAACGCAGGCGAACAAAAACGGTTGCAATTTCGTTACTGGCTAAGCTGAAGCAGTTAAATAACTTGCTTCGATACCTTGATCGTCATGAGTAACCATCTGGAATCCCAGTTATTACAATCGCTTCAGGTCCAAGTATTATGTTGACATGCTGAAAAGGATGGAACGTGATTATTTGAAACGAATTAAGAGAGAAGAGAACGATGATGATGACAAGGCTGCAGAATTGCCTGAAGAGCTAATGGTGCGTTGATTATTTACGCGATAACCAGAAAGATCTTCATGGTCTTGCCTTTTGTGAGATCTTTTAGGGATGAACCAAAAACAACAATGAAACTGAAAAATTGGTCTTATGAGGTCCGTTAGGTGTGAACCTAAAACGGTAATGATATCTGAAAAACTCTTCCACTATTCCGCAACAAACAACGGAATGAGGTTCTTGAGAACTTACTGTATCCAGTAGTAAAGAGAGGCGCCAAATGTTGGCAATCCTAAGGTTTCCTTCGATTTTTGAACGGGCTTAGTCGTTCTGCACTACACAGATGTAGGCTGAATGATATGCGATTGATAGCAACTTTCTCTAAAGGGGAAAATCATGTGTACTCGAAACTGCGACGAGTTAGAGCTAATTCTCACTACCAGCTAAACTGTACGGTACTAGTTTTCCAAACAACACCACTACACCAATTCGCAGACCGCTCAATTTGATTCGGTGTTACTTGGTGACGGATAGAAAGATGTTAAGAAGAAGAGTTACTCGGAAATTAATATCTGGTTTGTAATTTCGCTTTTCTTGTGTTTCAGCAGCAACTTATCTTGTAACGATCTGATTTTTCTATCAATGTAAAGCGTACTTTATGCAATTTTTCCACCTATTACCGAATAAGGGGTGTGTGGCTCAGTAGTCGAAGGCGCTCTGCAACACATAGGTGAAGTCGATTCGATACCCGCGCCCATGGTCCACCAAGTCTTCCATTCTCCGGAGTCGGCAAATTGGTACCAATCTTGTCTGGGAGGATAGTAGCACTGGTTCGATACATCGCTAGTCCACTGCGAGTAATTGTAAAGGTCAGATATGCCTGTTCATGAGCATGCATCTAAAGAAAATTTGAGAGTTTGAGGTATCGTCGGTTCTTCTTTTGCTCAACGACAACGCGTTTCTCGACCGTATTTCGACCTGCGACGAGACATGGATAGTCTACCCCAACTAGCGACGATCAGCTCAATGGTTAGACCACGATTAAGCTCTGCACTATTTCCTAAACCGAAATTGTACCGAATGCAGGACATGCTAACTGTTAGCTGTTGGTGGCTGCTTTGATCCATCAAAGCTTCCCGTATCTAGGTTAAACGGTGACGGTGGAGAGCTACGTCTAGCAAATCGGAGAAGCGCACCAAAAACTTTAACGGCTACCTTACCAGTGTTGGCCCGCATAAACGGACCAATCCTTTTCCAGGATAATGCGCTACCGCACGTCACACTACGGATGTTGCAGAAGTTGAACGATTTGAGCTACGAAGCTATTCTTCATCCACAATACTCGCAAATCCTCTCTCCTGCCGACTGTCATTTCTTGAGGCATCTCAACAACTCCTTTTGCGAGAAATGCTCCAGAAACACAGCTTTCAACAACTTCATCTCATCCAGAAGTTTAGAATTTTATGCCTCCAAAAAATATGAACTTACTTACCGATGGCAATAATTTGCGGATTCTGCTTACATCTACCAATATTGCTTATCCCGAGCTGAGATATGCCACAGTGAACGTACAGGTTGGATTCGGACATTAATCTTCTATGAACCTTATAGCTCTGTGGGAAATTCTGCTAGCAAATACGTTCTAAGCCAACATTTTTGCTGTTGCTGTCATTGCTAAAGTTGTTTTTCGTTATGGGTCACCTTTCAAACTATCCAAAAAAGTCAAGCCATAACCAAATAGTCCATATTATTGGTGATTTTCTTCAGCAGTTGAAGAAAGATGAAATGCTGAAGCTTTCTGAACAAGTGCAGAACAATCTGAGTGGTGGAGGGCGCACGCCATCCATTGATGACTCGGTGACGGTGCCGTACGACAGCGAGGACTTCCAGTGAACGCGAAAGAATTCCATCTCCACCTTTTTCTTCTTGACTGCTGTGATTTCCACTGTTGAATTTATCTGTTTGCCATTCAGTTGTTAACAGTTCTATCACTACTAACACCTTAAGTAGTAGTTTTTTCACTCCATGCCTCATTTGTGTACTTAGCTAATAATGGTCTTGTAACTACATCTTTACATTAGTGACTTCTCCTTCGACATTGTGACCCAGCTAAAGTTCCAATGCCAACCATTCGTGCTTCTAATTGTGGGATATTTTTTATGACTCGGAATAAAACATTAGATTGCTCATAAAATACCTAGGCTTCTACATCGCGCGAATTTTCTGCAGCCATTTTCAGCTGTCTATTACTTAAACTTTTTCCATAAACTTGTTTTCGAAGGTTTAAAAAGTAACGATGATTGGCGAGGTAGCCTATGAGTACGTGGGTGACTCTCTACTTTCCAATTCTTGCAGCTCAGACTGCTACATCGCTCTCGACCAGTTGGTCGATCTATAGATTGGTAGCAGTTTAAGAAATCGCTGTCATCTTGATGGAATACGTACGCATGACAGCAAAATTTTCTCCAATATGTAAAAATCGATGCCTTCTTGTGCTGAACCGCCTAGCTTGGCTATCACGAGATTTTAGGAAGAATCAAATCAATCAGGAGACGTGCTCAATACTCAAACATGCTTAACTGGCTAAACGTACAGTGAATTTGTAACCGATTGCTGGTTGCTATTCGTTTCGTTGCGTACCAACGCTCCGTTGGAGTAACACACGTCATAATGGTGAGAGTTTTGACATTGTCAAAGAACGCAGTAAGCGGGTTAAGAAATACAAGCATACGTCCTGTTCCGAAAAAATACGTTCTGTAGTGTCTAGAAGGTCGGAATTTCATACCAATGAAACAGCATATTGCCGGTGACATGTAACTACAGCAAGTCATTTATGTGCAATACTAAGAATCTTATTAACCACCGAGACGTCTTAACTTCGTTGCTTAAAACGTCAGCTGAAAATAGCTCATCTTCCAATCTACTTGCTGGAAACGTCTGTGTCTCCATTTGTCCCAGCCAACAACTTCAAAAAGTAGCGCAGATTCAGAGAGACTAACGGAAGTAGTAGATTAAGGAACACTGCTAAGTGATAAAAAAAACTTTCAAAACATACAAATGATAACTAGATAATTGTGATTATAACGACAGCCTCAGCTTAACTGGATTCAATGCCGATTTGGGCTTCCCAGATCAATGCAGTTGAGGGGTGATTGCCAATGGCACTGATCGATAGAACTAGCTGAGAGACACGCGAAGCGAAGGACTCGCATGGTGTGTTGGTGAACGTGTTAGACCCCGCAAAGGGTAATAGTGCGTTCGTTCTCCACCGCAGACACTTGCGGTCCGGGGTTTTCAAATATCTCAGCATCACTGAAGATCACCAGACCGTCCTGTTATCTACGAAATTTGCTACATTATCACAAGAATTGATTAGGAAGTTAGGAAGACTATATAAACTTCATTAACATTTGTCGCAGTCATTTTTTATTTTTCGGGAAGTCGAGGAAAGTTGTGCGCGGTGTATTTCACTTTCTTAGTAGAACTGTTTGTTTGATGACGCTTCAGTTTAGGTGTTTCAGGTTGTTCATCAGTGTTTCAATGGGTTCTAACTGTATGAACGATCCAGATATGCCGAAGGTGATGATTTAAGCCTTTCCTAATGAATCCCGTTATGACAGACGTTATACAGGTTGGCATGGTTGTAACACATAAGGTGAACAGGTGGAAGGTGCTGAGGAATATTGCATCGGGACCGTTTTCCGATGTGTTCATTATCTCAGATGAGGACACATTACAGAAATATGCGATGAAATGCGAAAAACAAGAGGGTAACCTGAGGTATTTGTGGTCAAGGCGGTTTATATATATATATATATATATATATATATATGTATATATATATGTATATATATGTATATATATATGTATATATATAAGCGTTAGTTGAATTTTACCCTAACGCCAACTGTGTTGTAGACCGGTATTAAAACTGGACGTATTGGTATTGATGGCCGTCAGAGGACACACCGGATTCCCATTGTTTATAGCAGCTGGCAGAACGAGTACTTATAGGTGGGTAACATCAGGACATCACACTGGGATCGTGTATTGGAAAGCAAAAGTTATAAGCAAAAACAACGAGTGATATTTTCATTTAAAAACGAAGCATGCTCCACAATCCTTCAGAGTCTGGTGGTAGCGCTAACGATCATAATCTACCCACGGATAGCCTACTGAACTGTGTAATGGCATAGGTTTATATTTGGCAATGTAAACAGTGAATTCCACCGCTGGAGAATTCGTACTGAACCCTTCGATGAACATCGCAATTGAACGCTCAGTAAAACAGGAGCGCAGCAACAATGGGGTAGTATTATTGCAAACCGACTTTCATTTAATATCAGTATTAATGGTTACTGTACCTCACTTCACTGATAGGCTAGGATGAGGTTGTTATCACATATTTATTTGACCGAATAACATAACAATGGGTTAGCTTATCAATGAGATCAGGTACAGTGATGTGGTAAATCACTGAGTACATCCATATATGAACAAGTCAATTGACGCCTTTTTCAATCGGACAGCACTATGTGCATCCCTGGTTCTGAGAAGCTGACAGTCTAACCTCAGGTATTTGCAGGGGCTCCCCCTAATTTTTGTTCGCTTCGCTGTTGAGCATTTAGTGTGTGAACTCTACCATGTTTCCCTTACTGTGTTTGGCTCACACTGAATAGTTCTGGTTTCTGAAGGAGGCGAAGGGTCCGAAGTGGAAGACGGATTAGAATTTTGTAACATCTTCGTGTAAGCCGTAAATAAAAAAATACAACTGTAATGATGCTGAGATATTTGCAAAACTTCGGACTGCAGGTGTCTGCGTTGGGGAACGAACGCGCTACTACTCTTTCAGGGGCTAATGCGCTCACCGTCACACCATGCGGGTACTTCATTTCGCCTGCCTCTCAGCTAGCTATCCAATTTCTGTAGTTAAAAACGGATATTCCCTATTCATCGTGAGGTTGTGAAAGAGTCAGCCTACCTATGGAGTAGCTCTGTTCAGTTGTTTAATCTTCTAATTCCTTTCATCGGCATACATGCTTTAAATGTATTTCTCCTGGAATATGATAAATCCAGTCAGCAATACATTTGTAACCAAACATTTGTGTCTATAAAAGGAATTTTGTCTCGTTTTTCAAAAATACTATTCTGCCTTTCAATTCTTTTGTTACGCGATGTCTTCACCTGGTGCATTCGAATCAACATTGAACACTGCTGGTTCAATACGGGCTCTGCTGTTGGTTCATCTTGTAGGAAACTGACCACAATTGTGGAACAGTACAGTTCGGATGAACTGTATTGGACCATGTTGCATGCCTTTCGTGATTGCTGGTAGGCTAGGGGTGAACGAAGTGCACTCAAGAGCAAGAGGTCTTACGAAATATACACGCAAGCTGGAACAATTCCTAGATGACACACGAGCTTCTGTTCTATGGCACCGACCAATAGGCAGTTTACCGATGCGTGATTTACTGACTTTAAGGGAAGCAAGATAACATATAATAAGGTTGATGAAAGCCCAAAATTCAATTTGTCCTTACTCCTGATGTAAAATTCTTGCTCAATTGAGGAGAATTCGAAGGCAAGAAAATATGAGTCCTAGAGTATTTCAGAGAACTCAGAGATTGAAAAAAACACTGGCTGTTTAAAGTGGAAACTTTTGCCATTTCATTCCTTAGTGTTATCGATTTCTTCGTTTTTGAGGTTTTTTAATCACAAAATCCGCTTTGACTGATTGAGTTTGGCGGAAATGAAGTGCTGATCTTCCTTATAATAGAAATAGCTGTAAAGTTCATCTCCACTCTGCTACTCACAGAGATAAGATTCATAGAAATCTAAGAATTCTTGTCAAACAAGCACTTGTAGTATTCACAAATTCGAATAAACCAGTAGCAGCATGAATGAACTGTTTCTTTATAAGAATTTGATCTTGAAGGATGTCATCATTGAAGCAAATGTACTTGACGATTTAATTTAATTTTATTTAGTTTTTCATTTAAATACGCATTGATTTCAATACGTACTCCATTGGAGATAGTTTGATGTTTTGCCTCTAAAGCAGTGTATCTCATCTTGTGTTGAATTTCTTTTTCTAATTTGAACGTAAACCATTCGGATCTACAGATCTTTAGCAACAAGGTACAACTTTTCTTTCTCAACCGCAGTGAAATTCAAGCTTTCAGTAGACGGCAAATATTGTTCATTTCTGTGTCCCTCATGCTTCAAGCATGGGACCTATAGAATGCAGGATTCCATCCAGAAAGCATTGATTCCAGCAAACTTCTATGGTAACTGATGGCAACTGATGCAGCGCTTGCGCCGGAAGTTTATATTTCATATGATTCGTTCAATTTCCGTTAAAAGAAACTGTCTTTAAAATAAACTCAGAAGTAAAATAATAAGTTATAGAAAAGGCATGGACCCTCTAGAGAGATAAGGAAAAGCCTAAATTATGGGTTTGTCAGGGTCTAAACCCCTGAAGTGCTAAAGCTCCAATGAAATTTCCAGCGGCTTTCGAAAAACTCACTCTATAGCGAATGTGTGATTGAAGATATTTACAGATACTGTGTTATGCAATTAGTTGGTCCAGATTTAGGAAAGCTTCGAAGAAGTTTTGCCGATAAAAGGTTACTACACGCCTACTTTTGGGACTCCTTATTTTTTATTACCTGTATTCTTTATCGCCATCAAACCCTCCGATTTAGATTTTCTGTTCCCACCGCTCTCAGAGTACTACAGCAAACATTAAGAAGGCTAGAGGTACTGCACGATGCCGGCTGGCTTTGTCGGTAAGAGTTCGGCTTACCTCGGGCTCCATTGGAGACCTTAACAGATTTTTATCTAAACTCTAATCACTTTGAGGTTGAGATATTTGCAAAACTCAGGACGGCAGGTGCCTGCGATGGGAATGGAACACGATATTACCGCCTTCTGGGGCTGACGCTTTAGCAACCACCTCATGCGGGTACTTCGTTTCAACTTTCTTTCACACGTGCTTAACGTATACCTACCATCAGCAATCACCCGTTAACGGAATCGATCTGGGGAGCTCAAATCGGAATTGGATCCAGTTCAGCTGAACTTATAATATAAATCACAATGTGGTTACTTTTTACCTTTTTGTTTACTGCCTCTGGTAGAGCATGCTGTGAAATATAACCATAACAACATAACAATACAACTATTATATTTAAATAGTCATAACTTACCATTACCAGAAAAAAAAACAACTACATTATGATTTATACTACAGGCCAGCTTAACAAGGTTCAACTCCGATTTTTGCTCCCCACATCAATCTCATTGACGGGTGCTTGCTGATAGCGCCTATAGATTAAACACGACTGAGAGAAAGGCAAAACGAAGGACATGCAAAGTGAAGCTCCCAGAGAGGGTGATAGCGTGCTCGATCACCACCAGAGACACCTGCGCTACTGAGTTTTCCAAAAAACAGCCTCATCGTGGTCATATTTCACGTCGCATCCTGTCATAGGCAGTAAATAAAATGTAACTACATTTTAATCAGTTTATTAAAAGTAGTTTTTCTATGTAACAAAAGGCATTAACTGGGATGGTAACCTGTATGGGTTTTAGGGATGTTAAAGCACCAAACTTTGCAATTGGCTTAGGAGAAGAAAGTAGTGTCATATACATGCTGGATTTTGGGTTCTCAAGAAAATATAAGTAAGTCCAAGAAAAAGTTTTCACCACGATTATAATAACCAGGCAATGACAGCATCCGAAAGGATTGCGATTCCCATCCTATTTGAATTAGGCTCTAAACATTAGGACTAGGTTTACCAAATACGGATGAATAGAATGGTGTTTAAGGAATACTGTCTTTCCCGTTGAGACCACATTTCTCGTAACAATTTATTCACAAGGATTTTTAGCGATGCGTTATTAACTGCACTTCCCAGGGAATATGATCTGCATCAAGTCCAGTGGTTCCTATGGTTATAGAAAAGCCGAGTTCCCAAATAGTTCCTGAGGCCGACAGATCTAGTTTAAGGGAAAAAAGTAGCCAGCAGAGCAATAAAGGCCACGTTGAATAGAACAAGCGATGAAGACAGCATTCCAAATACCCTACAAATAATGCAATCCGGTCTTATATTTCGTTTCCTTTTTCGTCCTACATAACTCTTGAAATGTTTTCCAAGAAAGGTCTCATGCCGTCTATGTGGAATGGAATGGAATCTCCATGATGAGCTGTTCATTTCCAACGACTACCGTATTCTTCATGTCCCTCACTTTACTACTAAATCGCTTAGAGCCTAAGCTCAGCTCAAGCTTACAATCAGCTTGCGTAATTGTTTTCAAGACCACCATTTCCAAAAAATCGAAAAATTCTCTCGCTTTAGGGATGAGAATGGAGCGATTATACCGCCGCGTAGTGCAGCAGCACTTCTTGGCACATTCCAGGTTGGTGTCTAACCCAGGCCACTAAACACTTCATGGTTGTTTTTTGTTCCAAAATACTCGTTGAAGTTATTATGAGGTTTGCGTGAAATTTTCTGCACAGAACTAACGTCTACAATACTGTGGCTTCTTATCAACACACTTTATCTCTTCGAATTTTCTCTAAATATACAGTAATGTATATTGGAAAGACTAACTGACTGGCTGGCTTATATGTACCCAAAACTTTGCGCTACAGTACACCTCACTGGCCAGCCATGCTCATAAAGATCAAGCACGCAAAGACGACTTGGAAAGTTGGTTCTACATGGCGGCCGAGTTACTGAAAGGTTTGACATTATTGTGATTTGTCTTTAAATTCTTTATTGAAAAAAAACCTTTCTGTACTCCATTACAAGTTTTGTTGTGTAGGTCCTTTACCGTGGTCGAAAATCAACGGTCATAAAGAACATCAATTAATAGCGGAGAAAAAACGGCGAATTCGAGCCGAAGATCGTGCCGAGTTCATGGGAGGAATGCCGGCGGAGTTCGACAATATACTTACGATGATCGACAACATGGGGTGAGTTTAGCCGATAATTCAATAGAAGAGGAAGAACGGGGAATGTTGGCAGAAGTGGAGTGAACCGTATATAATGCTTTACTTTTTATTTGCTGCTATTACAGTTTTCCATGTCAGGGTATCATACGAAATACAACCACAATCAGGCTGGGATTTTTTGGAAAACTCCTGACTGCATGTGTCTGCGGTGAGGACCGCACACTCTACCATCTTTTCCGGGAGCTAACACGTTCACCACCACGCCATGCGAGTCTTTTGTTTCACCTGTCTCTCACCTAGTTTTATCTATCAGTACCACCAGCAATCACCGGTTAATGGGATTGATATGGGAAGCCCATATCGGCCTTGAACCCAGTTAAGCTGAGCCTGTAGTTGAAGTCACAATGTTTTACTTTTTATTTGCTGCCTACTACTGGGTTCTACATCACCATAGGTAATTGTCACCACCTGTGATCGGAGAGAGGTCTGCCACTTTGTGGCTGAGTTTGCTCAAGTGCGTTACTGACTTCTCGAGCTGGTTTACTGGGTTTTCATAAAGGAACGTCGTAATCTAAGCTTAGCTGATTTCGCTGCGTAGGTGGAAACTTTACTAAACATCGTATTTCGACACCTCGAACGTAGCTATGTAGTTTGATAATCCAATTGGTGATCACGATGTGGGTTAATTGAATAAATGAGTAGAAGTACACCCGGTTCAACAATGACGATGGTGACGGCTTGCAGCTCGTGAGCAGATGTTCTTTAGTTAAACGGAGGAAAACCTCGCTGAGATAAAAACACATCAGTTAAATCAAAAACGTGATGAAGTTCTCAAGGTGCTTTTCGATGATGATCACTTTGATATTCATGAAAACGCTGACAAATCCATGTTGCAAAAAGATCACAGAGATTTCACCACGTTAGAGTTTGCTGCTTTTCGTACATTGACTCACGGAAAAACATTACACAGAGCTATACCTTTTTATTTTCTGCCTACTATAATTTCGCGCAGGGTACTAAGTGAAATACAACCACAACGTTGCTGAGATATTTGCAAAACTCTGGACCGCAGGTGTCTATAGTGGGGAACGAACGCGCTATTATCCTTTCCGGAGAGTTACGCGTTCACCACCACACCATGCGGGTCCTTCGTTACGCCTGTCTCTCAGCTATTTCTATCGATCTTTGCCACAGCAATCACCCGTGCGGGATTGATATATGCCCATCCAATTAATGTTACGAAACCTTCAATTCATCGTCAAAGCAGCAGAAAGACGTCTACGACTTTCGTCAGTTTCGTGGTAGGGCCGGGCAGAAGGAAAACTTCCCAAATCAACATCGTTCTATGCGTTCGTTAACACTTCTTCGCGCCATATACCTTTAATGTTTAGAGCCGTTTGCACTGCCTACGTCAAAGTTTCGTGGAAATGGAATTCGTGGAAGTAAATTTGTGGCGACCGCTGCTCTGACATCTCAATTTCTGACCATTTAAATTTATAAAAAGAAAAAACGTAATCATCTACAATTCAGCTGCACCTAGCAAAAGAGCATAAAATAGGCGTTGCATGATATAAAATAGTATGGCCTCCACAGAAAAAGTACTAAAAACCATGTGCCAGAAAAATAAACTTACAAACGGGAAATTAATTTCTGAACAACCACATCTGTTGATTGTTACAGTACGAAAACCGACAGATCTACGGATGAAGTGTTTGAAATTATACCAAAAATTTTTATTATGAAGTACCACCAAACGTAGCCAAGTTATGCAAATTTCTTCTTAGAGTTCGCCACCAAAAAGGGGGATTAGGTTGGTTTGAGCAGAGATACACGAATACACACGAAATCACTAGTTCAATCCCGCGCACTGGACTACCAAGATGTTCTTCAATACGGTGTCGGAAAACTGGTAGTCCTATGAGGATAAAAACACTAGTTTAATAGATCGGTAGGTTACTACTAGACAATATATAGGCTAAACAAGCGTGTATTCATCTTCGCGATGCTTACTTGGGTCAAATGTACTGCACTTCCTTAAGGAAGTTGACCAACTTCGAGCGCTTTATCCCGTTTTCTTAAAGCAAGAAGTCTTGGGTACTCATTTTTGTCTGATGATGCAGAATAACTCCAGTTACTTCTGAAATGTTTAAGATTTTATGAACGACCCCGATATGACGCCATCCATGCGTTGATCGATCAAGCAGCGGAAAAGCTCGGTTTAACTCTTCATGAGCCGTTCGACTGGCAGGTAAGCATTGGTTATTACAAAAAAGGAATGGATGATGAACTCATTAAAGCAGCTGTAGTAGCCCTCATGCTAGAGTAAAGTAATTATTTAGTTGTGAGTAGAAACTATTAAAATCAACTAGCATTTGCATCGAGAAAGATTATGGAGACAGTTTTCTTAAGGGATGTGGCCTCCCTACATTATCAAAGAAGAACCACTATTCGTCCCTATCAAGGAAACCTGCTTGAGTCTTTAATGCACTCTTTTTCACTTTTTCTCCGACATAGGGTCTTTCTCCAATTAACTTCCAGTGCTCGCTGAAAACAAGTACTTTCACATATTTCTAATTGTAAAAGTATTACTTAGAAGGAGGCACGTGTATCGCAGTGGTTAAAGGTGCCTAGTAATATACACAAGGTCATTGGTTCCATCGCGTACCCCAAGCTAATCAAGTTCCTTATCCGTCTGAGGTCGATGAATTGGCAATAGATTTGCCTGGGAGGAAAAGAGCACTGCCTTAATACACCAGTAGGCTATTGAAAGTTGCATAGGCGAATATCCCTTCAATCAACTCTACGATGCAATGAATTTAGTCAGTCAAACCTTCGACAGATAAATGTTAGCGTCGAGTATTTTGCACTCTATTCCAGAGAATTTGAAACAGATTTTCTCGGATTTTCAGCAGAACATTCACGCGCTTCGGAAAGCAGAGTTCGTTGGTGAGCTCGGCGAGTCAAATCTGGCGTCACTGAAAATGGACGAGGAGGAGGAGGAAAGCACAGATCAATCCGTGGACACAACACCAATTGATATCGAATCTTAGACATTTAATTAATGAATTACCACTTGCACACTACTGCATTGTCTATAAATTGTAAAGAATTGTTTAAATTTAGAAGACCTACTAACTCACAAAACTGCTAAAAGGTTCGTGATGAAAAGTGTGAGGACAATAAACGTTCGTTGATGAACATCCGTTGTCTAGAAGGTCGTTGAGTGATATCGAATGTCGCAACCCATGTTTCAACTCATACACTTCCAGTGAAACCCATTTTTACTGCAGGCTTAAACAAAGAAGAACAATAAACTGAATTCTAAGAGAATCGGAATGACACGGGGGTGGGGGTGGGTTTGGGGAGAACAGCAAGAAAATTGGCCCTTGTGTTGCTCACACGTGGAAACCAGACATCCTTACGACAGAAATTAGGTATATAAGAACATAAGTGATAGGGTTCAAAAAAAGTTGGGAGACAATGCTTAGGAATTTGAGTTTCTTGTGATTGCTAAAGTCACAACTGCCCAACTGCTCGCGCGGCAGGTGTTCACATTTCAATTAGTACAGTCCATCACGACTTCTCGGCTTGTTCTACGTTTCAGAGGAGTTGTTCCCTCCCCAGCTGCAACGACTGATTCATTATATCAAAACCTAAGAACGGTTCATCTTCGATAATTAAAAGTTCAAATTGAGGCAAGTGATAGTTCCCAGGATCGACTTTCTCTTAACCTCGGCATTGGAATATGAATGTGTCGTTTTCTTGTTCAGCAATCACGAGGTTGAGGCAAGTGATTCCCGTTGATATCAGACTTGAGTTGAATGTGTGCTCAGTGCATACAGCGCGATATCTCAACGAAGTTTGCGATTCCCACCAATTCATGCTCGATCATCCTGAACGTTCCGAGCCGTGACCAGCACAGATTTTTGATGAGACATATACAGTAAACAACGGCACATACTGGACCGCAGCTTTTTTTGTATTTTTCCTTCCCAGAAAACATATGAGGCTGTAGGTCGACATAACCATTGCTTAACTTGAGAATTTTCCCTTGATTACTGCTTTCTCTTCCAGGAGACTATAATAATTGAATTTTCATAGCGTAGCTGTAATGTCGCTTGAGTTGTTAGGAACGCCCAATTAACATCAGTAACTGTTTTTTAGCGCGATGCATTGTGCTTTTCAAGGGAATGCTAGCACCAGATCAAACCACGATTTCTCCGCAGTAGACTGATGCAAGCACTGCTGTGATGGAAATGTAGCGAACTGAAGCTGTTATTCCGGATCCTTGGAATTTCTAGGTACTGAAAATAGCCGGAGGTCAAAAGCCATCTACTTAGCTTCTTGGCTGTCCTCTTCTCTACCATTTTGAATGAGATTTACAAGTTCTCAGACCATGTCGGAAAATCATCGCAGTTTTTTTTTTTATTCTCTTTTATTCTTTGTTTGATCGACAAGATGGCAACTGTGACGAACGTCAATTCCTTTCTAGTCTCCGTTTGAAAGTTTCACATAGTTTCATATCCAGTGTTGCGATCACAATTTTCCTTTGAAAAGTCTAAATTCCATAACAAGTGGCTTCGCTTAATATGAAGAAAGGAGCTGCTGTTAACCTACTCGACAATATTTATGTACGAGGAGGATTGAACCGCCAACATCCTTTAAGCTTGTTGCTCTCTTTTGAAGCGCATTTTCAGTAACTAGGGTTACCGCTAAAAATCGGTTAGTTGTAAAGAAACAAGCCAGCTTTGGACGCTTTGAGTAGAATTCATATGAAAGCATAGAAATTTCGTTGGACCAAATTCATTGCACAGCAGAATGGAACGGTTTGCTTAATCAACGAGTACTTTAAGTACGCCTAATGGTGTCTTGAGTGACGTTCTCTCCATATCTGTGGAATTCACAACTGAATCGTGTATAACTCAAAAATCGACTTTCTACAAACTTCGGCGCAAATAATCGATATATTTATTTATATGCTCTTATGAACTGATCTTGTTGAGCTGATGCGAGGTTGCTGTCGTT